GCCAAACCAGCCATATTGGGAATATTCATATAGTTATTTTAATTTTTTGACAGAATTATTATTTTTAATAAATATTTGGTATAACCGATATGACCAATTTATTTATCCGGTCTGATAAAATTGTTCAACCCAAATTTATTTACAAAATCTTGTATCTCAAGTGATGTGTCAAAATCTTATATATTGAATATTTAATAGAGTTAGTCGATCCCAGTGATCTAACTACCCACATTAATTTGTGATTTAAAATTTGATAAATAATTTGATCAGCATAACATTACTCTATACTGTTTAAATATGCTTACTAAATCTTGTATTCTAAGTGATTTGTCAAAATCTCAAACATTGAATATAATAAATTATAATTAGCATATAGCTTGGATTACTTTAATCTTCCTTTCCGATTATGCTTTGTCTATTTTTCAAGCTCTACTATTTTATTTTTTTTTAAAAGGTAAAAATTTCGGTGGTTGTTTGGTTCAAAACTCTCTTTTTAGATATAATTTCTTTCTTTCTTACGAGGAATCAAGTCATTTGATATTATCAAGTTAGCAGGTAACTACAAACATTTACAAAGAGTTTATACTGTTTTTATTTCTAAATTTTTACATATTAAATTACCGTAACCCAATTTTGTCTTTTCAAATTCTTTCAAATAAAAAAATACTTCGCATCCCAAAAATGGGATCTCAAATGAATATAAAACCTTAGATAAGTGGATTCATTGGAAAAAAAAATTAACGGAATCTACTATCCAATAATCCCTATTAATATTGAATACATTTTGAGATTTCAAATTTCAAATTCTTGACATTTGTTTTTTAAATAACTACGGTAGAGTGGCATGTTCTGCTCTCTGGNCTCAACTGGAGTTGGACTTTAACACATAAATTGGACTATTTGGACTTAACCCATCAAAAACCACACCATATGGTATATCTTTTTTCATAGTTGCAGATTCTAATATCAACACGACAACAAACAAGTGCACTATTCAGTCACACCAATCATTTGCACTTACCATATGATACACAAAATAATTATTAATGTGATCTGAAAACAATTACACTAAACAATCACTGATGATATATAACATCAACCAGTTACAATTGTCCCATGATACGCTAATAATTTATTCATGTGTTCTGAGAATAGTTAAACCAAATAATTACACCAATCATGTGACACCGATCAAATAAAATTGTCTTATAATATATAAAATAATTATTCATGTGTTCTGAAAAAAATTAAACTAAACTGNCGGTAGCACATTTTATTATCAATTAGGTGTAATTTGTGCTGAAGGTATTATGTAATATGAATAATTTTGATAAGGACGTTGATGACCAAATCTATTTGAGACCGTCCAATAAATTTATTAAAATTTAATGACAATACTTTCTTTTTTTCTTTTCAAATGCGTNTTTATTTATATGTTCTAAAGACAAGTTGATCATGCAATTACACAAATTATGAGACATCAAGTAGTTATAATTGTCCTATTATATACTAAATAGTTATTCATGTGTTCTGAAAATAGTTACACTAAGCNAATTACACAAATTATGAGACATCAAGTAGTTATAATTGTCCTATTATATACTAAATAGTTATTCATGTGTTCTAAAAATAGTTACACTAAGCAATTCATTTCATCATTTAATTGTTTAGTTAGACCAAAGAGTCATACTATTAAGTTTTACTATATAATTACATCAATTATACACATCAAATTGGATGAACTAAAAAATTACACCAAGAAGGTACATCATATAGGAACACCAAACAGATAAACCAATGACTTGTAGTATTAAACCAAAGTATTACACCTGATAGTCACACCATCCAATNAAAAAATTACACCAAGAAGGTACATCATATAAGGACATCAAACAGATAAACCAATGACTTGTAGTATTAAACCAAAGTATTACACCTGATAGTCACATCATCTAGTGAAAACAAATAGCTACAACAACGACATATATCAAACAATTTTACTAAAAAAAATTATAAAAATTTTTAAACCTAAAATGTGAAAAGTAATCTAATTGAAATTGCAATCCATAAAAGACTTCCCAGAGATTCTTGTCTTCCAAATCTTTACAATATTTTTTATTTTCAAATTTGCCCAAGACTAAGGGACGTGATCTATGCTTCCTAACTTTCCGTCTTTTTCATTAATGGAGTTGAAGATGACGTTTGGGATCAAAATCGTAGTCTGGTAAATTATTTTTTTTAAACAATTTAGTATATAAGTTCAAAAATGTCATAAATTGATAATATTGATTAAAATTTGTCATGTAAATAGCTCCGAGAACGATGTTACTTGGATTCTAAAAATTAATATCATTTACTGACTCTATTAATCATTGTTATTGATTTAATTATGAATTTCAATATTTATTGAATTCTACTATCTATTTAATAATTGTGATCAATAAATTAACAAACACTGTCAACTTTTGAAGTCAAAATAATATTTTCCTTCGACAAAAGTGAAGCTGCTGATGATAACTTTTGCCAAACCAGCCATATTGGGAATATTCATATAGTTATTTTAATTTTTTGACAGAATTATTATTTTTAATAAATATTTGGTATAACCGATATGACCAATTTATTTATCCGGTCTGATAAAATTGTTCAACCCAAATTTATTTACAAAATCTTGTATCTCAAGTGATGTGTCAAAATCTTATATATTGAATATTTAATAGAGTTAGTCGATTCCAGTGATCTAACTACCCACATTAATTTGTGATTTAAAATTTGATAAATAATTTGATCAGCATAACATTACTCTATACTGTTTAAATATGCTTACTAAATCTTGTATTCTAAGTGATTTGTCAAAATCTCAAACATTGAATATAATAAATTATAATTAGCATATAGCTTGGATTACTTTAATCTTCCTTTCCGATTATGCTTTGTCTATTTTTCAAGCTCTACTATTTTATTTTTTTTTAAAAGGTAAAAATTTCGGTGGTTGTTTGGTTCAAAACTCTCTTTTTAGATATAATTTCTTTCTTTCTTACGAGGAATCAAGTCATTTGATATTATCAAGTTAGCAGGTAACTACAAACATTTACAAAGAGTTTATACTGTTTTTATTTCTAAATTTTTACATATTAAATTACCGTAACCCAATTTTGTCTTTTCAAATTCTTTCAAATAAAAAAATACTTCGCATCCCAAAAATGGGATCTCAAATGAATATAAAACCTTAGATAAGTGGATTCATTGGAAAAAAAAATTAACGGAATCTACTATCCAATAATCCCTATTAATATTGAATACATTTTGAGATTTCAAATTTCAAATTCTTGACATTTGTTTTTTAAATAACTACGGTAGAGTGGCATGTTCTGCTCTCTGGCTCTCGTGACTCTTATTCTAATCAAAAGACTAAAGACACCTACCGAAGATGCCGGTAGCACATTTTATTATCAATTAGGTGTAATTTGTGCTGAAGGTATTATGTAATGTGAATAATTTTGATAAGGACGTTGATGATCAAATCTATTTGAGACCGTCCAATAAATTTATTAAAATTTAATGACAATACTTTCTTTTTTTCTTTTCAAATGGTTTTTTTTTTTTGGGTAAATTACACTCACACTTGCTGACATTTGACTTTATTACACGGACACCCCCTCACATTTTAATAATTACACTAAGACACCAATAGTTAGACGTAGTTAACTATCTTAATAAAAAGACTATTTTGCCCTTCTGTTTAACACAAATTCAAACCCAAACCCAAGCCTTAATACCTAACCCTTCCAGTGCATTCTCTCTCTCTTCTCTCTCCCTCAGCCTATCTCTGATTGTGCGTGTATATATATACACATACACATAGACTTAGTCTTCTCTTTCTCTCCCTCTCCCTCAGCCCATCTATGTGTGTGCGTGTATATATATGTAAATACATATATACATACACACAGACTTAGTCTTCTCTCTCTCTCTCCCTTAGCCCATCTCTATGTGTGCGTGTATATATATATACATACAAACATACAGAGAGAGGGAACCCAACAACAAAGTCATCTCTCTGTCGCCTACAATCACTCATCATCAACACCACAACAAAATCATCATCGCCAATACCCAAAAAACTCAAAACTCGATCTAAGATCGATATTCCAAATTTGAGTTCTTCATGGTCAAAATAAAGCAAAGAGAGTTTTTAAATTTTTGAGATTGATATTCAAATTTGAGTTTGGTGGATTTGTGTGGTGGATTGTGGCAGTGGACTTGCGATATTTGGTGGGTTTGTGGTGGATTGTGGCGGAGGATTCGCAGTGCTTGGTGGATTTCACTGGAAGGTGAGTTGTGGCGATGGAGATTGATGGTTTGGTGGGTTTGTTGTATTGTGGATTTGGGGGCAAATTCGGTGGGTTTGTGTGGTGGATTTCATTGGTGGTGGAGATGGTAATTGGTGGTGCATGGTGATGGTGATGGTGTTAATGATGTTAATTGTGTATAAATTCGAATTGAATTTGGGTGCTAAATTTAAATTAATGAATGAAATTAACTATAATTGAAAGAATTTTGGAGATAAATTAAGATTAGTTTAATTTAATTAAATTTTTTAAGACAAATTTGATTGAGAGATTGTTAATCTCAATGTTATAAGGGTAAAAAAATCTTTTTAATAAAATAGTTAATGTCTGTCGTACAAAAGGGGTGTGGTTGTCACAACTCACAAGTGTTCAACTGTCAAGGCGTCTTAGTGTAATTGTTGAAACATGAGTGGGTGTCCGTGTAATAAAGTCAAATGTCAGGGGGTGTGAATGTAATTTACCCTTTTTTTTTTCGCGGTCACCCCCAATTTGAATTTTTTACCGTTTTCTTTGGTCCGTCGGTCCGACCGTCCGGTCGTCTGTATCCACCTCCGTAAAGGCAAACTCTCTCTTTCTCTGTCTCTCTAAGCTTTAGACCTTCCGACAGTAACGTGCATCAATTCAGAACCCTAGAAGAAGGAGACAATCATGAAGACCAAGAAACCACTGAAGGAACTCAATCTCCGTGTACCAGCTCAAGAAACCCCAATCTCTAGCTTCTTGTAAGACCTCATTCCTTCCATATCCACTTCCATTTTCGAATTGATCTCCTAATTATCTCTCTCCGTCTTTGTATATCAGTCAACTTCTTTAGTTCTTGCTATTGATTTTGTTGTTGAATCACATTGAAATTGTTTGTTTAGTCCCTGATTTTCAGATCTCAGTCTTCTTGAGTTTCTTGAAACTGATCAGTTTAATTATGCTCAAATATATATATATAAATTACACATTGAAGAAAATAATATAGTAACAAATGATTTGATAATTCGCCTTTCAATTAGTTGTTCAATCCCTATTTTTCAACTCATAATCTTCTTGAATATGAGTTAGTGGTTTATTGTGTGAACATATAGATAGTGGTGCGATATTGTGTGAATATATAAGTTCTGAATTGTACATTGCAATAAGGATTTAATAAGTCAAACATATTTCTGATTTGCAGAACTGCCAGTGGAACATTTCACGATGGAGATTTGCTATTAAACCAGAAAGGTTTGCGGCTCATTTCTGAAGAAAAGGAACCTCGTGTAAGATTCTGTTACGATTACGTTTCATGGTTTGATTTACGTTGGGATTTTTCGTTTGCTTTCATGTTTGGTGGTCTGGATATTGCTTGAACCACCTCACTTTGTTGTCCACATTCTTCTTTCCAATTTAGAATGTTGAAAACTAGAGAGAGAGAGAGAGAGAGAGAGTAGCTATGGTGGTTGGATGTCAACACAAATAACTCAACATTGTTCCATCACTGCCATTGTCATTGATAAGCAATAGTCCAGGGCCATCTTACTGCAACTTCTCTACAACTGAAAGCATGAAACTTCTCATTTCATTTATATATCGCTGAACAGTATAATTGTGGATGATTTCAATTCCAAATGAGAATAATTGATGCTCAATGTTTAACCATAAATCAAGCAATCTTTATTTGGTTGGATAACCTACCAAATGGGACTCGCTTGACTGTGAACCTTTTTTTTTAAAAAAAAAAAAAAAAACTGAGATTGCAAGATTCTATTGGCATCACATTCCCATATATCTTTGAACATGGTAGGCATGATACGTGAAAAATGATACGACATAGCTTGGAGTAAATATTAGGCTGGTTTTCATGAAAAGTGAAAACACAATTACTTTGGCCATTTGCCCTCCTGATTGTTATCAGGCAAAAGTCTAATAGCGTTATCTTCCGAACAAATAGTCTAATAGCGTTTTAGGCTTTTTGATCAATGTGTCAAGAACTTGTACGAGGCACCAAACCGCTTTATTCAGGTGAGCAACATGAGATTTAGGGCAACATGGCATAGCTCTTATTCATCACAAAATAGATTCGAACATATTCTAACTGTGATTACATTTATGTGCTTGTGATATAGGTTTATGGTTTACTTTCTTAGTTTACCATATAAAATTAATGAGAGGTTTGGTTTTTGTTTACTTGGACAGCCTATCGAAAGTAAGGACACTGATCTTCAATTCTCATTGGAAGACCTTGAGACCATCAAAGTCATTGGAAAGGGAAGTGGTGGCGTAGTTCAACTTGTTCGCCATAAATGGGTTGGAACTTTATTTGCCTTGAAGGTCAGTCCACAAGCAACTCAATTCTCAAATTCTTTTTGCGTATTAAACTTGGCTACTAGATCTACCATAGGATAATTTCATTGAGTTGCATTTTCCTCTATTACATTTACACAGTGTGGTGTCACACAGAGTAATTCAAAGGTGTTATGTGAACTAGCCAAGTGTAAATGCTCTGATCCTGTTCGGATTAGGAGGGAAATCATTCATGGTTGAAATACCTGTAGAAATCAAGGTTGAAATGTTTTTGAAACAATCTAGATGTCAAGGTTTTGACTTGATAAGTGAATTCTCCTTACTGGTTGGATGAATTTATAGAATGATAGACATTTTCCAGGGCAGTTTGCTATTGGGATAATAATTCACAGAACCAATTGCAGGAATTTTTGTCTCATAATTCCTCCATGTTGGACAATTTACCATGAGACTTGAGCTTCGTGGTATGGTCCGTGTCTTGATATTGGCCTTGTAGTACTGACTTCTTTGTTTGGATTGATTGATGCCCTAAGATTTCTTCTGATGGAGGCAGTTGATATCCTCCAATCTGGAAGCTCATTAAGTGATGTGTCACAGGTTATCCAAATGAACATACAAGAGGATATCCGTAAACAAATAGTGCAGGAGCTGAAAATAAATCAAGCATCTCAGTGTTCACATGTCGTAGTTTGCTACCACTCTTTCTATCATAATGGAGCTATCTCTTTTGTGTTTGAATACATGAACCGTGGGTCGTTGGCAGATGTAATCAGACAAGTAAAGACAATCCTTGAACCATATCTGGCAGTTGTTTGTAAACAGGTTTGTGCATTCTTTTCTAAAAAATCAAAGTTTACGGTCGTAGCCACACTCCTTTCAACAAATTTGAGAAGTAGTTTTTTGTAGCTGACATCATGCTTTTATTTCAGGTTTTACAGGGTCTCATGTACTTGCACCATGAAAGACATGTGATCCATAGGGACATAAAGCCATCCAATCTGCTAGTAAACCACAAAGGGGAAGTAAAGATTACAGACTTTGGCGTGAGTGCAATGCTCGCCAACTCTATGGGCCAGAGGGACACATTTGTTGGGACTTATAATTACATGGCAGTGAGTTATCATCTTTCAGTATTCAGATTCGAACCTACATTAGTTTGTCCAGTTATTTTTGCAATGGAATATCATTTGTTCTCCTAATTGATCCATTATTCTCAACTTTTTATCCACACTATGCAAGCAGTGGACAATCAGATTGAAAGCTATTCGTATTTTATTTTATTTTCTCTCCTGAAGCCTGAAAGAATCAGTGGGAGCACATATGACTATAAGAGTGATATTTGGAGTTTGGGCATGGTGATACTTGAGTGTGCTATAGGACGTTTTCCTTACATACAATCTGAAGACCAGCTAGATTGGCCAGGCTTTTATGAGCTTTTGGAGGCAATTGTGGGAAATCCAGCACCTTCTGCTCCAACAGATCAATTCTCCCCTGAGTTCTGTTCATTCGTCTCAGCCTGGTAATAAGAACGATACATTCCGCTTGTATTTATTTTATTGAATTGCATAGCAATCTCCATGCCAATATTGAAATGCCTAAGAATACCAGTGTTTTTGCTTCCAAATATAAAGGGTGTTAAATTCCCCCCCCCCACAATAAGAAACTGAAGGTAAGGGGTATTGATGATTTTTGCCTTTTATTTTTGTTGGTTATGTTATATAACAAGCAGTGTTTTTGAATAGTTTACTTGTTTTCTTTTCAAAATATATCACTCAAAATGGCTGTAGTTTATGTTTTCAAATTGGCTTTATGATTATATATACCTTTGCTCTCGAACTCATATGTATGGACAGATGATTTTGGTATTGATTGTATTAAATTACGCAGCATACAGAAAGACCCTGGAGACAGATCGTCATCTTTGGACCTTTTGGTTAGTAGATTTCTCGATATGTCTTTGATAGTGATGTTCTAGTTAAAAACTTGACTGGTTGATCTCTGTTGTGTTTGTAGAACCACCCATTCATCAAGAAGTTTGAAGACAAGGACATTGATCTTGGGATTCTGGTAGGTAGTTTGGAAGCTCCTGCTAATTTTACGACGTAATGACATTCCAAATTGTAAAATGTTTTTGTTCAAATGTATCAGCCAACAGTTCTGCTCAAAGATTTTACATAACTCTGTTTATAACACTATTAAGATTTGAGACACATGACATGAGAAACCTTGCAATTGATATATGCCTCTTTCAATGTCTCTTTAAGAATTCAAATGAATTCATGCAATTCTAATGCAGTCCTCGAACACATTTAGTTTGGTTGCACATTGTTGCTAAAAAAAAGATGTAACCCGATGGAGCATTCAATTCTTTTTCATAGGCCTTTGTGCCTTGTTTGTTCGCTCTTTTAATTGAGTTACAACCGCATTATATGGTCACATAGGATAATGCTATCCAAATCCTTTTAATATATATTTTTAATTTCTTCCAATAAAAAATTACTTAACCATGTTAATCCCAAATAGTTGAAATAAAGATTTTGTTAAGTTGATTTGAATTGAGTTGAGAAGATTACTTACCATGAATTCAATTGAGATCTCGTATAAGTAAATGGATCTTCACACATTTATAGGAAGTATATTGAAAGTGATCTAAATCCACCATAACACAAGTTGCACTTACCCTAATGTCTCTTTCATTGAGGATAACAGTTTGTCTAATGATTATCACCCCCACTGTTATATCTTAATGTCATCGGTTCGAATCTCATTGTCCCCTTCCTTGTAATAGCGTTTGAGCTAAAAAAAAAAGTATCTTTTATCCACTCCACTGAGATAATAAGCTGATCTTATGTCTCTTCACTTTATATCTTGCTGCTCTTGTTAAACAACTTTCTTGGCTTTGACAAATTGTCCCCCTTCCATTTACAATCTAGCAAATTAAAGTGGACATTACTGCAACTAATCTCAATGTCAAATATCATGTCTTTCCCTTTTTGTGTGCCAAGATCAAGCTATACACTATCATATTAACCCCCCCCCCCCCAAAAAAAAAAAAAAAAAACAACAAACCCCCCAAACGAACAATAATTGATAATTCAGTGCTATATAGAAAATAGTTAATCCCACCAAAACAATGGGTTGCAAGTGCTGGTCTGGCTGTATAACCAAGGGATGAGACATCTCTACTTTTTTTTTCGCCCTAAATTACTGTAGTATCACCTTCCCATTTCCCAAGAAAAATCTAAAACAGAATTCCAAATTGACAGGTTAGTATGCCTCACTAACTAACTAATCAGATGCAAGCCTCACAATCAAATTCCTCCTCCTTTTGCTCCTCAGCTTACGAGGTATTCCTCAACCTACGAGGTATTAATAATTATTTCCAACTGTTGTTTCCCTCCCAGGGATAAGTTCTTATACATTACTTACCCGTCTGTCACCGACAACACCACTTCCCATCTGACTTGCATAGTTACAATTCTGGCTGCAAAACCAAGGGATGGTACATATCTACTTCCCCCCCCCCCCCAAGTTACTGTAGTATCACCTTCCCATCCATCTTCAAATAGGGACATGTATGTCTAGCCCCCTCCCCATTTCCCTTACTGATGACAAGTTCGTTCCCAAAATTATTCAGTAAATTTGTTTTACATCAAAGATAATTTCGATATCTTATAACCGAATACAAGTTAAAATCAACACACATTTTCCTTTCCAGTAAGAGCAAACTCAATAAGCACACTGGCTTAACTGCACGAGCAAATTTTGACAACATCAAATGCTTTTAAACAAGGTGGTATACAATTGTTGTGCAGGTCAAAGCATTCAATCATAGAGTATGTCAAATCTTGTATACGGGTGTAATTCCCAGTAAATGGAAGCATTTTCTCATGACAACTGCTGTTGCCTCGCACAATAGAAGTCTACTTGTTTCCTCCTTTGATCCAACCACCTGCCCAATTGTTCAAAAATGACAAGGTCAATTGAGGTTACTAACACTATAAAATCAAGACAATGTTACCAGAATTGAGCTTAGCTAGGCTTTAATAGATTCAGCTCGATTCGACTAGTGTCTCGTTCTCTAGGAAGTTATTGTAGTTATTTGTTTATTTTTAACTTTACAATGTACCCAAAAAAAAAATTAGATTCAGCTTATAACCAGTTGCCCGGTCAAAGCCATTCCATAAGTAGGTCTACGTAAATTTGATTATACCCGGCACAAACTAAACTATATACAAAACAAATCTGTCTACAAAATTTCGGTTATACAAAGCTGTAAATGGGTTAAATGTGGGTTGAGGAAATTTTGACATGTCTTGACACCGAAAAAACATGATGTGACACAATCCATTATCAGCCAAATTATAATACACAACCAAATGTATTGCATTTGGGGTCATTTCTATTTTGCACAAAATTTGGCAAGAGATCGGAGAGAGAGATGGATGAGGCCCATACCGTACAGGTGGAATAAAATTTTGTGTAGTTCTCGGACAAATTATATAGATATTCACACAAAACATTTGGCAAGAGATTGGTGCAAGCCTCCTCAACAACCTAAGAAATGAAAGGGCAAACATATCAACATCCACTATCGTGTCCAACAGCATATGTATGCCAACTATACATACAAGAAAAAAGAAACGTGAGCAACAGCTCTCCCTCAAATCATTTGCTTACCTCTGCAAACTGGAGCAAATGAAGTCCTAAAGCCCGCTCATCTTGATGGTTTAACTCTATTGTCCCAGTCTGTTTCAAGCAAATACGTTGAAAATAAACCCATAAATCATAAATCATTTATAAAATGGCAATATGAATATTTCAGCCAACAGCCACAGGCCTAACGGCCAATGATTATAGAGTAATTTCATCCTTATACGAGTTTAAGGCGATGGATGGAAGCCTAACCCATCACCCAAGGCTTAGGTTCGACTTTCAAGTACCAAGTTACAATACAAAAAGTAAATAGCATAGGTACGTTAAAGAGCAAGTTTGAACGACTTGCATGTTGAAGTGAAGTCCTAGTGCAAAGTAGTTCAAAGTCAAGTTGTAGTGTCTTGAGGCCGAAAAACTAAGAGTACTAAAAGGCCATGGTTGATCAAATGTGAAGAACTCAATATTCCCTGAAATATCAACTTTCTTCTTTTTTTCCTAAAATGGAATCACTGTCATGCCCAAACAGAGTGTATTTGCATCCCATATTTTGCTAAAACTGGACTACTGTACAGATCAGGAGCACCATAGCTTTTTGAAAAGACAAGATGAACCACAAGCAAAAAGTGGAGGCCCAAATTCAGCCAATGAACTCTGAGATGGATAAAGAAAAAAAATTNTACAGATCAGGAGCACCATAGCTTTTTGAAAAGACAAGATGAACCACAAGCAAAAAATGGAGGCCCAAATTCAGCCAATGAACTCTGAGATGGATAAAGAAAAAATATTTTTATGATACTACCTATTAATGTAAAAAGCAAAGTGCAAACAGCAAAAATGCTAAGCATGACCAGGACTACAGCACGAAAATTTCCATTGAGAACCTTTTCTCCTTTGTGGCATGCAACTACAGCTGATCATTTACAGATATGCTAACATAGTAAATATCAAGTTCTATAAACTTCAATGAACACCTGATAAAATTAAGAAAATAAGAGTTGGTAGAAGTGAAACATAAAGATTTCAGTAACAGCTGCTTCTATTAGGAAGAAATTTTACCTTCTTTAACTCCTCTAGGTCTTTACCAGATTTCCTGATGATTGAACAGATTCGAGCATGTGCATACAGCAAATATACAGCAGTATTTCCCTGCTCATCAAAGAACATGGGCAAGTAAGAGATGAATGCAGATAGTCATAGTCATAGTCATAGCAACAACAGCAGCAGGAAGACAACTGGAGCATCATGAGTATTCACAATACAAGACGAGAGGAAGGATAATTATGTGGAATGATAAGTTGATAATTGCTAAACAAAGCCATGCATCAGTAGTCGCAATAAGGCTAAAAACCTTTGAAAGTAGTAAGTCCATTATTGTTTCAACTAAAAGTAAAATTGGAAAAAGAAAAAGAAACAAAAACTCAAGACTTAGGAAGAAGAAAGTGGAAATAAAACATGTATTAGTACTGCAGTTTTGGGTAAAGTTGATCAACCACGAAAATATTAGCTTCTTATTCGAGTAGAGAAACAGCAATGCAAAAACGCACCTTATCATTAAGCATTTGATCAAAACTAAACGTGTAATTTGTCAATCTGTTGTTCTTTAAGTCTGCATACCTGTTAGAAATTCAACCAACAATAACAGGGATTGGTCAGATACCTGCCATCACAAACTAAAAGACAAATGAGTGCTATCAGTTAGATCAAATTATACCACTAACAGAGAACTATGTCAATCCCCTTGAACTAATTTATATGCTGGTGCAGTTGAGAATCCATTCACAGAGCCACCCAAAAATAACCCCAAAACCTTAAACCAAATACAAACTAATACTCCTGCTTTTAGTAAAAACAACGTGCAGAGCTAGATAAACGAGACTTTAATCTCTCGCATCAATATATAAGGCACACAATGTAACAAATAAGTAGAAGGGAATTTAAAATGGTGCTTGATGTTTATTCCACTTTGTCAGCTTATCTTGGTTCTCTTGTTAATGCAAAAAAAAAAAAAGAACTATAACCAAGTAAAAGCACCCAAAAGTGCAGGAACTTACTTAATTGCCCCATATCCAACTGCTTCAGCCGTTTGCTCAAGCTCATCAGCAGTCCACTCTTCACTCTTACCTGAGTTTTAAACAAACATGTATAAATTTTTTGACATACAAGTTAGGTGGTTATACTGTTAATAATAAAAGATTTGAATGGATTGATGCAGAGCAGAAACCAAAAAGCGGCTATAGCATAGTTCCAAATAAAAGGAACTAAAAACAGTAACGAAATAAATCAATCTCATACCGCGTTCAATAAGGACTGCTTTACACCGACTCTTGGCTTCATCAAGTAAATCAACTAATCGAACCACTTCAGTACTGCGAGTTCGGAATCGCTTTCCATCTTCTCCAAGAACAAGCCCAAAGCCAACATGGCTAGTTTTGGGGTATTTGTTATCTTCAGCTGGAAGCCAACCTGCAAGTTTGGCAGCCTGAAAGATGGGGGGAAGTAAATGTGACCTTTAAAGTCATATGGCAACAGCATTACTCCATCTGCCCATGCATATAACAAAGGGAAAAAGGGTATGAAGCACCACATAACTGGCCACGNCCTGCAAGTTTGGCAGCCTGAAAGATGGGGGGAAGTAAATGTGACCTTTAAAGTCAAATGGCAACAGCATTACTCCATCTGCCCATGCATATAACAAAGGGAAAAAGGGTATGAAGCACCACATAACTGGCCACGACAGTGGATACTTACTGTGAAAACCATTTCAAAGTGCTCCCGCTGGCCTACATCAGTAACATATATAATCCACTCAGCTTTTTCTTCATTAAGTCGATACCTACAAATTGAAGGCAACGAGGTTTAATAAAAAGCGTACCTCCTCACTCATACTAGTAGAAGGCACCTATGCAATGCGACTTAAGTTTTAACGACACTTGTACAATTCATGTCAATTCAAGAACCTTATCATGATCTTCAATCTAATGGATCCCTTCAATCACACGAATGAAAGAATTCATCTTTCTCCGAAAGATTTAGTCCTTCAATATAACTCTTTGGACAAAAACAAAATTTGAGAATGTTTTACAAATATTATACAGACTCGATGGTACACTAGACAGAAGCAACAACAATTGATGAAGATTGTGCAACAGATATATACAAGGCTTGTGAAATTTAAACTCTTGAGAAGTCATCAACATCAACAATTTAAAAAACAAACCATAAAGCCGCAAGATCAGTAGAAGCGTAGTTGTAACCACCATCCTTCTTTACAACAATAAGAGGTATGTTTTTCCCTTCAATAAAGATCACACGAGCACCTTCACTTTCTTCAATTAATCCCTTCTGACTCAACAATTCTAGAACACTAGGAATATATGGATTGTAAAAGCTTTCTCCCTGAAAGAAAGGAAAATAAATAAATGCACCTGAATTTGCTGCTTTGGTCTTCAAAACAAACAATTACGTGTGTTATGCACCTTCAATTCATATTAGGACAAAGCTTAATGTGAAAAAATCCAATTGAAAGATTATTGCATACATCATACAACTCCATTGTGGAGTATAGACGGTTTTAAAAATTGTGCACATCATCATCAGATTCCAGATATACGTTCTACAGGTAGTGCATGTTTCTGCTTCTGAGAACCTCGTTCAGAATTTTAATAGAATAAGTTCCAATCTAATGCCTTCCATGTTTTGGACGTCATTTGATACCGAATTCAAATCTGAGCAAGCAAACAGTGATACCTGATACAGTTTAACAATTTAACGAAACTATCAACTAGCATACAACCAAGTTGGTCGTTTCTATAAAAAAATTCCAGTTTAAATATGTTTGGAAACCTACAACGACAAATGAGTACGAGCAAGCAAATGAAATAAATGTTCTGCCAGAGCACTAACATCCACCAGATCAAAAATTTATCAAATGCATTAAGTCACTTACTCATGGACGGTATATATTCCCTTACAGAATATAAGTGCAAAAAGGTAAAGGATTAAGCATTATAAACATCTAATACAAAACTTACAGTACTACAAAAATAAAATTCAAGATTGAAAATGACATTTAAGAAGCCTCCACCGTGATTATAAATTTGGAATTGTAAGTGTTTTGCATATGGCTAAGACACAAAATGCCCCTCCAACTTACGTTTTACCTAAAAAGAAATATTGTTGAGTAAGTTCCAACGAATAGCAATGTTAAAAAACTTGAACTCACTGACATCTCCAATTTAATTTGCCCCCTCGAACCCATAAACATGCAACTAGTTCTTAACTTTCGTTTCTTTACTTACATAAAGTAGCATATTTTAAGTTAATTTTATTCATTTAAGGAAATTATTTCTTTTGCAGTATCTAAAAGCACGAATGATTCTTATATTAAATTTGCAGTTAACAATAGCAGGACATATATTATCTCATTTTAAGTGCAGCTCAACAAAGCCTAATTTATAGGCATGACGGTAAAAAACTTGTGAATAATATACATAAGGTATGACAAAAACACAAAATGTGCCCGCTGGGGGGGGGGGGACACTGTTCGTTGGATGTTACTGGATTTTACAAACCCATTAGGTGGGATGAAATATTCAATATGATACCTTCTCCTCTAAGTAAACTCCAAGCCGTTGATAAACTTTCTCATATCCCCTACGACTGATTTCACAGATTTGTGTCCATGCCTTGCGATATTTATCTACCCCGCCCTGTATTATACATCAAGCATAGGAAATGAATAAGAGCACATCTACCACACATCATGAAAACTCCAGCAGTGAAAAACATTTTCCATTTTCTCCTTCAAGAAGAACAATCAAAACTGACTCTGCAGAAGCTTCCAAGCCTTCTTTTAAAAATAGAAGTCAAACTCACATGTTCTAAGATTCCAAGGCAAGGTATTCACCTGGAGACTGACTACAGCCTTTTGAGCCCGCTCTTTAAAACCAGAATCGCTATCAAATCTCTGCTTTGAGGCTTTGTAGAATGCCTAACAAAGTACCATTCACGTTATATCAACAAACCTACTTACATCAAACATTCATATTTTTTTTATACATTGCAGCAACTTTGTTCATTTTCTGATATCTAGCCATATGACAGATACGAATAACATAAACAGTCACCCAGAGATATCTAGCCACATGAAAAGAAGAATACAATAAACACTCATCCAAGGACATTCTTATATTAACTAGAGTAGTGCTCCTATCCACAAACCTGCTCCAAGGCTCATTTTGAAAGAACTGATGAAGAACAGAACGATAGGGAGGGGNATCCAAGGACATTCTTATATTAACTAGAGTAGTGCTCCTATCCACAAACCTGCTCCGAGGCTCATTTTGAAAGAACTGATGAAGAACAGAACGATAGGGAGGAGCGGACGATATTTTCTGACTAAGGAATTCAGTTCGACATCTAACTATCTTAGTGCCCAAGTGCACAGGAAATGTGAGCATGAGAATAACCATTGACCCTACAATGAAGTGGCCCCATTACCAAACCTTAATGTCAATGTTCATACCATAACTTTCAATTGTTTTAAAAGTTTAGTTAAAGCAGATGGTGTTCGAAGATTAGTTGGCACTTCACATGTATAAAAATTGGCGCCATTGAAGACGCTCAAAATTTATAAAAACAAAGTCCCTAGTCATCCCCAGTTTTTGCTCAATAAATGAATACATTATGTGCTATGATGCCTACGCATGGTTATAAATTTTTCAGATGAGGAAAAAAGGATGCGTGTGTACGTGATATCTGATGAAGTTATGAAGAAAAAGCAAATTTCAAATGTCTTCTACTCACCTCTAGATCTCCGATGGCTTGATCACTAGCAACTTCCCCATTGGGAAACTTATCAAATAGATGCTCAATTAACATGCCAAACTGCAAAACATATATAACATTTTTAGGCTAAATGAAATAATGGAGAAGGAAAAAACGTGGAAGATCATCCTGCATCACCAAATAGATGAATAATATGTTTGTATTTCTACATCAATAATCATCACAGAAATTCAATAAGGTACATAGAATATTGGTTTAAAGATGCTTATATTAAAGAAAAAAAAAATTGTTTGTTTGAGTCCTGTATTCATACTATCAACAAGGTATCTTTAGACCATTTGTACTAGTTGGAACAAATCAAATGATTTTACTATGCAAAAGGGGGATGAAGAGCTCCAATTCACCATTGGACATGAGGATCCTAAAATGAATACAAGCTAAGCTAAGCCAAGCAGTAACCACAAATGATCAGTACACCTAATCAAATGCAAACAAGTTCCACGTGATAAATATGCATTTTCAGCCATCACACGTACCTGTGTGCCCCAGTCACCAACATGATTTCTCCTACGGACTTCAACATTTGAAAACTCAAGCATACGGGCTAGGGTATCCCCAATTATAGTAGATCTTAAGTGACCAACGTGCATCTCTTTTGCTATGTTAGGTGAGGAAAAGTCAATCACTGCCCTCTTAACCAGAAGCTTTGGCGCCCATGTTCCGATACCATCTATCAACATCTTTTGGATGCTCTGCAGCAGGAACAATAACATCGTGGTAAAAAAATATCAAGTTAAATGAGACAAGAAAACACTCTTAACTATAAATAAAAGTTGCAAATTGCAAACACCTCTGCTATCCATTGCCTCGACAATACAACATTCACAAAGCCAGGTCCAGCTATACCGCATGATTCTATCATTTCTGATGCAGGAAGATTTTTTGAGAGGGCCTATGAATGCAAAGAAATCCAAAAGTATAAAATGGTATTAATACACAGCCTCATTCACAAATCATAAGATCCACGATTAAGTTCTTAGCAACAAGAAATACAATATAAAGGTTATACAACCATCAAAGGCAATACCTGGCCAATAGCTTGGGGACCCTTGAACTCGGAACCTTTGCCTTTAACTTTTGTCCATAAGCTCATGGCATTGTTGCTTCGCAAAAAAAAGAGATTTTTATATTAGCATCCAGAAAGAAAAATACAAGGCACACAAATCCTGCCGTGCTAAAAAGGTTGAGACACATAATGCACAACAAACCCAAGGCTTCGGTTCACATACATATTTCCAAAGACCAGCTTGTACTATAGAACACAAAGGAAATCTTCATGAAAAAAATATGCAAAACAAAGCCATACCATTGGTAATCACCAAATTTAGGATTGCAAGCAGCAATCAAAGGCTCTACATCCAACTCCTCAGGGATGGTTGCTCTGAGCGATTCATCAAATAGTTTAGCTAATTGTTGCTTTAGAGTACCAACATTTTCCTGTCCCAGAAAACATCATATGTGAAGTCAACTCAATTGTTTTAAAGAAATAAAACAAAAAATCTGGACAAATATATACTGCTTTCTTTCAATTCTTTCAAAATATCTTTCTTTGGTAAGAAAAAAAATTAAAAATTCAAAATTCAAAAATAAAAAATTCAAAAGCAGTGAAAATATCAACAAAACCATACTGTAGAGTCTTGCACTTTATGACCTACATTGGCCACAGCATTGGCAGCCTACCAACACGAGAGTACTTCATAACATCCATAATTTCAATGGAATTATAAGTTTGGTTATAAATAATCCACAAATAGTCTTAAATCATCCAATATTGGACATATCTCAAAACACAAGTGCATGCTCACAGTACCTCTATGTACATATACATATAATAAGGCACACACGCACATGCATTCATACACACTGAAACACATATATGCATAAGTGTATTCAATGTTCATGCATCTTAATGTGTACAAGGAGTTGACGAACTTACAGAAGCCATAATCGATATCGACTGTGCCTTAGCTGCTGGGAAAAATCTTCTAGATGTTGCTCTCCAAATATCTGTCTAGTTTCACAATTAACACACCAAACTAAAAGAAGTGCCACCAAATTTCATATCACAAAACTAAATAAAGAAAGACCAGAACCAGATGTATTAAGAGATTAAGTAAAAAAAATTACTTCTAAAAGACATAATTCAAACAAGTAGACTCAATTTAAACCATGCAACTCTAATGAACAGAGAAATAACCATTCAGACTCTGCTATCAACTGTTTGCAGGCCGATCCAGAACCACAGCTATTGAATTCTTTTAAAAAAACCTAAAAGTGTATGACTGTGTTTGTGCAAAACAAAATCTACAACTTGGAAGTTGGAACGGGATATACAGCCATCCTTAGTTCTAGTTTCAACCAATTTCTGTTCCAATTCCCATTGTAAGGCCATATTCCATCCTCCCAATTACAATGCAATTGTTGCTTTCGGAATTAGATGATACTCTCATATGTCTATCTATCCAAATAGAGCCTCATAGAACACATGTCTTCGTAAATTTGCACAGTATCAAAACAAAAGAATTTTGTCTATCCAAATAGAGCCTCATAGAACACAGACAAACATATGTCTTCCTAATTTTGCACGGTATCAGAACAAAAAATCAAGATTCTTAAGCTCAAACAAGGCAGCAAAAAAAGTTTAATCTCCACCGAAAATAATCAATCTCAAATGAAACATAAATGTACAAATAAAACATTTTATCACCGAACACTGTGTATATCTAATCATTCACACATCCATAGAATATGAGATTCTGATGCATTTACACAAACACAACGAAACAACAATAACACAACACACAAACATGGAGAGAGAGAGAGACAGAGAGAGAGGAGCTTACAGGTTGGAGAGAGAGAAGGGGAGGAGTGAAAGAGAGAGAGGCGATTGAGTCGGAGAGAGAGAAATTTGGGAGGAGGAGAGACTACCGGCGGAAGCAAAAGGGCCAATGCGCTGCTCATCAGTTTGGGTTTTGAGGTATTTATTCTCTCGTCTTTTTTAAAGTTTAGGCGTAGCGTTATGTGGCTCGCGCGCAAGATGCTCCTCGCATTTTCGACGCTATGGTGGCACTGCCACAGGTATTAGGGTTTTGGAGGGATTTGATAGCTTGCGTCACTTTGCTTATTGCTATATGGCTACTCCAATGACATAATGCCACATCAATATATGGGTCCCTTCACGGCGAGAGAATTTTTACTCTTTTAGTGCGCCATCAAAGGGCAAATCAGTAAAACATAAATTAATTTTTTTTTANTTGCGTCACTTTGCTTATTGCTATATGGCTACTCCAATGACATAATGCCACATCAAATATGGGTCCCTTCACGGCGAGAGAATTTTTACTCTTTTAGTGCGCCATCAAAGGGCAAATCAGTAAAAAATAAATTAATTTTTTTTAACTTGCCCCAAAAACCCTCCAAGAATTCGAACCCGCGTCCCACCTGTGTAAGGCACGTGATTTATAATTCTTTCCCTCTTTTTCAAGATCCCTTATTCACTACATTTTTTTAGTAATTGGGGGAATGAGAATATAAGAATATTTTTTAAGTAGTGGTCAGTTATTAGTGAGTTTATAATTAATTCTTTAGGATAGTTTGTAGAATGCGATTGGATAAAATTTCGGACTTATCTATATCATATAGTACAACATAAAAAATAATTTTTATTTTACGTGATTTAGAGCATTTTAAATTTTATTTTAAAATTAATCGTACAGCTACTCCCCAAATTTAACAGAGAAAATAGACCCTCTAAGGATTTATTTGAGATGACTTTTCAAAAGTGTTTTTAGCACTTATAAAAAAAAAATAGTATTTGGAATAACTTATTTTAGTCACTTCCAAATAAATCAAAATTAGTTTTACCACCTAAATAAGTAAGTAAATAAAAGTTAAAAAAAATAATTTTTATACAAAATACTTTACCATCTCCACTACCACCGTCACTCATGGTTATCACTACCACCATCGTCACCTAAAACTCACCACCAGTATTACTGTTGTCACCGCCACCACAAACGTCGTTGTCCACCATAACTATTATTGTCTCCTACCACCACCTACCTCCACCTACCTCCACCATAACTAAATTCTTTTTTTCTTCTCCATGTTTATGATTTAATTTTTGATGTGAATACAAATATAGTTATGATTTACAATTTCTTTTTTGTTACTTTGTGCTTTCAGGCACAGACAATAACTGGGATTTAAATAATTCAAAATTCTTTAAATTAAAGAAAGGGAAAAAAAATACCTGTAAAAGCCTTGCATAAAACTTAATTTATATAATAATACTAGTTATTGCCCGTGCCTGAAGGCACTGTACAACGAAAAAAAATCAACTTAAAAAGATGAGCATTAGCAAGAGAAAAAGTAAAAAATAGGCATGTATACTAATTTTTTGTGATCTGAAGCATTCATTTAAACTCAAATATAACTTGAAGCCCAAAAGACTGAAGTTTGTAATGCACTAAAAGGTTATCTTCTAATTTAAAGCCAAAAAAGAGAAAGAGCAAACTAAAAGCCAAGGTTATAAACACAATTTCATAAAATATTAGACAAATATAACAATCAAGGCTATAAACCCTCTGCACCACCCCTTACATAACCAGCTAGCAAACAAATGTACCAAATAGGCTTTCACTCGCCTCAATCCTTCAATTACACATGAAAATAGTTCAAACCCACTTCTAAAAAGTTGAAAAACATTACATTAGTGGCCATTAAAATAACTAAAATTATTCAAATCATAGTCCTATTCAATCTTCAAAATCTTTAGAGGACCTAGCAATGAAATAAAAGTCCTCATGTGAAGGAAGCCCCTTAATATTACATCACAACAATTTGCATCAAATCAAATAAAACCAAACAATTGGCATCAAGTCACATTCAATTCCCCTCAATATTGCATTCCATCAAATTCCCAACAAAATAACAAAACCTTCTCAAAATTCGCATTAGGTCATTACAATTTGCAAACAAAACTAAGGTCAAGGAATTCATTCCCCAAAATTACATACAAAAGCTAGGAATAGTAATTAAATATAAAGTACAAACCACACAACTAAGGTCATCTTTGTTAAGAAAATGAATAGGCAAAATGGCAATGAAGAAAAAACAATAGTAAACTTTTGTGACAGTTTAATCCAAAACCAATCTGCAAGGAATACATAAAAACAAATTATGTAATGAACTCAAGTCGCAACAATTCACAAACATAAAGTGGTGGATGTGGTTTGATTTGGTCGTATAACTATCAATGATATTACCACCATAATGGGCAATAGACATAGAAAAGCTACCATGTCGACTATAATTTAGTCTTAAAAAGTTCAACTAAAAAAATTCATTGGCAAATACAGTTAAATGATACATAATGGAACATAGCTAGTAAACTTACCATTCGCAAAACATGGTCGCAAGGCAACAGCTAACGAATAAAACGCAACTTTCTCAATCGCCGTTAACATTCTACTTTTTGGTTCTCATGCGTAGAAGCATTTTTTTTTTAATTTCTACGTCCATTAATGTGGGCAACTCGTGCAAATGGTATTAATGTGGTTTTATTTCTATAATTATGTTTGGCAATAAGCCTGCAAGAGGACATAGTCTTGAAAAAAACTAAGATAGGCCAATTAGATTAGACTCATTAGACATAATTAATCATTTTTGTTGCAAATAATCAAACCTCAACCATGAAACTGCTTTAATTAAGTAATAGCATCCAAGTGTTGAACCAACACAACCATCAACCAATTAAACGATTTAATACCACCAGAGAAAATCCAATACAATCACCAAATAGTATAATGCATACAATTACTAAAATTGATTCATTCCAATAAATTAACAAAGAAAACGAAGAAGCAAGGATGTCGCTAGACATTAACCTAATATCAATCAATTTCAATAAGATTTCATCAAATTAACCTAATTCCAAAATCCTCAAAATCCAATAAATTAACAACAAAGTAAACAGATGGTGCTGCGGGCTTGAGTGATAAGCGTGAGTGTGTTTGGGTCGTGGCTGGTGGTTTTAAAGAGAGAAAGGTAGATAGAGAAATAGAGAAGAAAATTCAAAAAAAAATCTTAATAATCGAGATTCTGTGAGTTGCAAGCAGAGAGAGAGAGAGATCTAGGGCTAAAATGGTAGGCAATTTGAAATCATTCATTGAGATTAGGGCTAAAATTGGGGCAAATTAAAATCCATCGATCTGGAATGGAGAGAGAGAGAAGAGAAGGCTCACATTCAATTGTTCATGTCCAGTTGAGTTCGATTGCCTTGCTGAGTTCAAGACTTCGAGTGGCTAAGAGAGAGATCGATTTGAGAGATTGATCTAGGGCCAGACTTGGGGCAAATTAAAATCCATCTATCTGGGATGGAGAGAGAGATCATAGACTTACATTCGATTGTTCATGTCCAACTGAGTTCGATTGCCTTGATGTGGATCTGGGTCAGGGGTGTGTCACTAGAGCTCAAAGAGAGAGAGAGAGAGTCAAACTTTTTGAGACACAATTGAAGTAGCTGGAGGCTTTGGAGCTGCCTGAGGTAGACTCGAACAAAGAGAATTTGGAGCTACCTGAGTGAATTTAAACAGAAAGTGTGGATTTTTTAAATAAGATCCATCATATTTTAGATAGTGTATTAAATGATATATAATACGTAAAATTCATTAGAAATTTTTGTGCAATGTTTTATTGTGTAATTGCTAGGTTTTGAGAAAACCAAATCATATAATTAGATGTCCTATTTTGTTAAATTATGCTTTTTTTTTTTCAACTAGGAAACATAGTTATTGTATTACATCTTTGAATATGGATAACAATTTGTATTATTTGTTATTTTAGAATGATGTAACTGTATGGTATTGAAGATTATCCATACAGCTATACTATATACTGATAACCCATTGTTGATAATATGGCTAAGTAGGTATGATGGTGACATCCTAATAACACACTATAGAACAATACTGATACATTATATAATGACCTTTATATTCAATTAATAATGCGTAGAAAGCTTTATTCACATTGACAACATATAGTGGAAACGTTATAATGCTACAATTTCATGTAACACTTTGTTGTTACTCTTTTAGAACCTAAAATAATGTCATTGTTTAAGTTATTATGTCACTCTTTTAGAACTCTTTAAGTTATTTAGAATGATGTAACACTATGGTATTGAAGATTATTCATACAACTACACTATATACTGATAACATACTGTTGATAATTCATAGTGATACAACATATATTAAATTTTTTACTGTGAGCTTCAAATGTAGCCAAGTAGTTATGATGGTGACAACCTAGTAACACATTATGTAGTAGTATTGATACATTATATTATGACCTTTATATTCAATTAATAATGCGTAGAAAACTTTATACACATTGACAACATACAGTAGAAATGTAATAGTGTTGCAATTTCATGTAACACTTTGTTGTAACTCTTTTAGAACCTAAAATAATGTCACTGTTTAAATTATAATGTCACTGTTATTAATGTCACTCTTTTAAATCTCTTTAAGTTCTAACTCTGTTGCTTGGATAAACATTATTTTTGTTGAAAATTTCATAAATAAGAGCACAACAATGTTGCAGTATACATGATTGCAATTCAAATAATAAGCTACAACAATTCCATTTTGAGTTTATGTTAAATGTCCAAGTATACAAACCTCTAATCAAAAAAACATACAGATATAACATACAGTGACAAGATACAATAATATTCAAATTTATTCTTAAATGTCTAATTTTTTTGTGAACACATGACATGACAAAAATATGATCTACAACAGCGAAAAAAACCCTAGGGAAATGAAAGGAAATATTGGCAAGAAATGTGGTGGGGACAACATCTGGTAGAACTGGTAAGGAAGCAATAAAAGATGTTGAAACAAGTGTGACGGAAATGTCACTAGACCCGCAATACAGATCAAACATGCTTGCAGTCATAAGGGCAATACATGAAATTGTGTTGCAGGAATAACATAAAATGTCGTTGCAAAAACCTCCTTTTTGGTTGATAT